GTTTTGTTCTAATTTATATTTAACTCATATGTTGTTTGATGAATTAAAGTGGTTTAATGAGAGCTTAATCTGGGGTAGGAAAGTTTGTCCCATTGAAGAAATCACTCAGGGAGAGTAGGACATGACTGAAAATTTGGACCACCTTGGAAACAGGTAAGAGGATTCTTTGATCCTTGCATGTACGAGACAATTTAGAGTTAGTCAAAGGGATCTGGACTATTCTACTCTAATGAGAAAGTTGGGGGAAAGTTTAGAATTTCAACTGTATAGGGAGAGAACAAGAAAGAAATTTAACCTCCTTAATTCAAGAAATTTCTCTGACATACTGTCTTCCACAAAGGAGTCTTAAATTGTCAACTTTTTAATTTTTCAAGAAAATATAGCAAAGGCCAGCTGACGGCAGGATGGGATGAGGCAGATGCATTGATAGTGGGTACCATACCTTGGATACTTAACTAGGTGCTGAGAGAATCTATTAAATACTCTAAGAGCATATCTTATTTACTCCTCAAAACTATCCTGTTTGGTAATAGGCAGAAGGTAGTTTTGTGTTTCAATTTTAATGATAGGAAACATAGACCAGGCAGGTAAAAAGTGCTGTGCAAGGTGACAGGGCTAAGAAGCAACAGCATTTAACACCAGTCCTTCCTGGATCTAGGGACCTGGCTCTTACCCAATATTTTATATGTACTCCTAATGGATTTAAATCTGCTTTGTCTCATTAGGAAAAGAACAGCATTCAGCTTTACTCTCCTTTATGTGGATTGTTTTTTTATGTAGACCCATAGCTTATGTCACATGAACATTTTAATTTTCTAAAATCTGGTATTTCCCACTTGGGTCTTTTTCTACTGGCTACCAAAGCCATTTCAATGATATAAAATTATTTTTTCCAGATCTCTCATTTGCATTTTACTTATTCAGCTGCTCTTCTGCAAGATTTCAGTGTTATTAAAGAATATTTTGTTCTCCCCTATACAATTGTAAGCGTCTAAATTTTTTGGAGGCAAAGATGCCTATATTTATCACTCACTGAGCTGTCTTCTCTCAGTCTCTTAGCACCAGATGCATCCTTCTGTATTTGTTCTTCTAATTCTGGGGCTGGGAACCTGCAAATTATATTTCTGGTATACCAGCTGTTAGGATCTACCAATAAAGAGTATTAGAGCAAGACTTGAAGGCAGAACAGGACAGAAGGGGTTAGCTCTTTGTATTTGCTTGTTATTCCTTTCCATGTGGCCTCAGACAAGCCTCTCCGCCCCCATAGCAGTAATAGACAGTGTCCCCCAGTTCTAAGAATGACAGCTTCTTCCTGCATTTGCTATCTGGGTTACCTCTGTTACCTTTTGCTTTCTCAGTTCTCTAGCACTTATTAAACTTATTCCTAATATTAATTTTTTCTGTTGAAGTACCTAGTATGATTTCTGTTTTCCTGATTGCACCCTAACTGATAATCTCTCTGAGACTCATTTCTCCTGTTATCCTTTTCAGAACCTGTAATAAATTACAGGATTTACAAATTTGGAATGATCTTAGAGGTTTTCAAGTCCATATTCTGACACAACAGAAAGGCGATCTATGCAGCTAAATGTCTACTCGTGGACAACTTCCATCAGAGGAAGCTTTTCCAGAGCACTATGTTTTGGAGAAGTATGAGGTTATATGGAAGTTTTTTTTCTCAAGGAAAAATATTTAAGAGCGAGCACATCTGTCTTCCTATGGGATGGAATTAGACAGAATAGTTATGTACCAAACGCTATAAGCAGGGATAACAACAATAAAACACTTCAGTTATATTGTAACGGTACATGTGTTTATATGGGGTTCTTATGGAGAGAAGATTGTGTTTACTCAAAGGTATTTGTTGTTCATGTTGTCAGGCAGAAGCTGTGTATCTCAGTCTGAAACATAGACCCCTTATATGGGCTTAGGAGAATGAGTTCTTTAGCTCATTATGATTCTTGTTGCCGGGTTACTTGTACATATTGTACACCTTTGGAATTTAGCTTATTGACCAGTGAGATAAGACCAGGTTTATGTGCCCTTATCTCATCCCAAATTCAGAGAGATGTCCAAGCAATAGATTCATTCATTTAACTCATTCATTCATTTATTCATTTTCATTCACTTACTTCATTCATCCATTGTTTTGCCCAGACACCCCATCTTTGCATCCATCCATCCATTCATTCTTTTATTTACTGTATTTATTTTTCTGAGATTATTTGTCTTGAATACTATGCTATATTGGGAGACGTAAGATGAAAAATATGAACTTCTATTTCAAGGAGCTCTATAGAGAAGTGGGGAAGCTTCAGTTGAATTAAATCTGGAAGTTAAGATGAGAAAAATCTGGTAAAATTTATCAAAAGGAAGACATTCCAAAGAGAGAAAAGCTGATAGATGAAAAGATATGAAATGATCAGGAAACTAAGTAGTTAGTCTAAAGCTGAAGAGTGCTGAGAAAGGAGAAGGATGAAGTAGAGCAAACAAATTGTAACAGGCCCCTTTGAAGGAAAGAGGAAAATATATCCATACATTTATATGCATGTTTATTATTTTTAAAGCCTATTGTAGACTCCATGGTGACACTGCAGACTATTATTATTCAATGATAGCTACCATTAGCAGAGATATTAGAGAGTATGACCTATATTTGATTCTAGATGCAAATCTAAATAAAATTGCTACTGCTGTAGTCAAGCCCTCCTGACCTTCCTTACTTGCACCAACCACCCAAAATAGTGAGCGGTTTAATCAATGGACAAGTATCCCTCCATCCACTCATTTAATCATTCTATAAACATTTTTCCTGTCTACAATGCCTCTCTAATTTATTCCAGGGTTATAACAGTTAATGAGACTCCTTTCCCTCTGAGCTTACAGCCTAGCTGCAGAAACAAATGATTAAATATAGAATTTCACTGAAGAGTGATAAGTATTACTTTAGAGTAAGAATGGTGTGCCTTGGGAGCATACAAGCAGCAGCACTTATAACCTGGAGATTCAGGAAAGGCCCCTGGAAAAAGGAAGGCAACATAAAAGGAAGGAAAAGGAAGCAACTAGATCTAAAGATTCAGTAAGAGTTCATCAGACAAAGAGGGGTGACGGAAGACAGTGTTCGGGGCAAAAGTAGAAGCATGTGTGAGGTTTGGAGTTTGCTGTTTGCTTAGGGTTTTGAGAGCCTGAAAGGAGTTTATTAGGACTGGACTCTGCTTTCTGGGAGAAGGGTTGCAGAGGCTTTCAGGGGACAAAATATATGGGGCCTTTTTATGCCACATGCAGAACCTTAGCTTTCATCCAATGAGTAATTGGAAATCCTTGGAAGGTGATCAAGTTTGTAAGCTGGTTGTATTATAAACAATACAAGTCAGAGGAAACATCAGGACGACAAGTAGACTGTGAAGGGCTGTTGTGTGAGACCTGGTTGTGACCTGGTCTGGGGCCACTTCTTTGGAGATGGAAAGAAGCAGAACCATTCCAAAGATGTGTCCTCTGGGGAGACCCTGGGCTGGAGATACAGATGTGCATAGATACAGTTGCTGAATGGTCAGTAAAATAAGACTAAAATGTCTATTGATTTCAAGATGCATTCATGTGTGGCTGTGTCTGACTTAGTGACATAAGAGGAAATGGGTAATGAATGGGGGAAAATGAAGCTAGACAATTATTTTAAGACTTTGGATATGAAGAGAGAGGGGATAGGTAGACAGAACAGGAGCTGGAAGCAGATAAGGAACAATGGAAGCTTTTTGTTTTAATTGGGACAATTTGAGAATGTTTACCTCTTGATGGGAATAAATAAGTAGAAAGGAGATTGGAATGTTAGAGAAAGGGAGGGATAATTGATGAGATAGGTCCCTAAGAAATTTGAAGGTAATGGGATTAAACTTTAGGTAGGAGAAGAGAAATCAATTCTATCGTCATAGGAGGGAAGAAAGATATGAATGAAAAGGCTGGTTTCCAGGTTTTTGAGTGTTGCTTTGTTTTTGTTGTTTATACCATTTTTATGAGCTAGGAGGTACTGTAATATGCTTTGAAACAAAAGGAGTTAGAAGGCTAGTTAGTTAGAAATAGTAGGCTGAAAATGATTTAAGTTGAACCTTATACAAATTTTGTGTATATACATAAGAGAAAAGATAATGACTCTAAAGTTAACTTCAAGAAGTCAATAATTCTGAGCCCAGGAACTATTTTTTGCTAAGAGCTTGCTAAGCTTTCTTTCCTTATTTTTATGTTTTCTTTTTGCTCTCCTTTCATCCTGCTTATCTTTTTTCTTTCTTCCTTCCTTGCCATTAGACAATTATTAACATTAAAGTCCTCACCAGTTTAACAGAAAAAAGATTAAATATGTTTTAGGGTTTAAAATAGAATCTATTCTCCTCTATCACACATAATATTAACTTATGTATTATGTCAGAGAATTGGGAAATCAACTCTATTGGTAGCTGCTCAGAGGAAGCTAAAGCTCCCTCATTTACAGAACTGGAAAGATATTGATATGAGTGTTTTTACTCTATTGCTATAACTTATTTTTCTTTTATGTAAAAAACAAACAAACAAAAACACAAGCCAGAAAATACATATATATATATATATATATATATATATATATATATATATATATATATACCTGAGCAAGCCTGCTCTTATCTATTGCTTATCATCATTTAATAAATATCTCTCTGTAAGAGGGACTGTTCCAGGCACTAAGAAGGAAATGACCACATGCCATGGTCCCTGCTGTAAGAGCTCTCAGTCTAGTTGGGGTAACAGACTGAAGGAGAAAACATTCCAACCAAATTAAATAAAATATACTATGTGTTGCATATATAACAATGCACATACAGTGTTCTTTGGGCAAAGAGGCTGCATCGCTTCACTGGGGGAATTGCAGAATGCTTCACTGGGTCCGGAGTGATGAATGAATAAGCATTTCCTGTATCCACCTCTGTTTCACCCCCTAAGAATGCACCAAGCACATGAGAAGCTATGCTTACGGCATTTGAAGTCGCTACAAGAGCGCAGAATCTCAGCGGGCAGCAGAATCCTCTCAGATTGGAAGCTGGAAGATTGACAAATGGGAATTTCAAGTTGTTAAAGAGTAATTTGAAGAGATAATAGCAATCACTACTTATTGAGAGCTAACCCTATGGCAGGCATCATGAGTAGGTACTTTAGGGCTATTATTATTTTTCTCACAACAATAGTCTCATGAGAGAGGAATTTTTATCATTTTCATTGTTCAGATAAAGAAACTCAGATATATATGTATTTAAGGCACATTTCCCAAGGTCAAAAGGATAATAACAGGTTATGTTCTGGTTAAATCCTAGAGGTCAAATCACCTGTGTTCTTGGCCATGAGGCCGCAGGTGTCATACCATTTGCTTCTTGTCTAATTTATCAGTAAAACCTTGGTCAAAAACAAGCTGAGCACCACTACAGTTTGATCAAAATGAGGATTTAGTTAAATCCCGCAGTCTCCCATTTTCCATGTGCAGTATTGGTAATTTTCATGTTCTATGGAATATGTTAAAAATACTAAGGCGATCTTAATAATTTTGTCATTCTTTAGAATTTTTGCATGATACTGTATATAGAAAACGCTAAATACTCCACCCAAAAACTGTTAGGACTAATAAACGTTAGGACCAGTAGTAAAGTTGCAGAATACAAAATCAACATATAAAAATCAGTAATATTTCTATATGTTAATAGTAAGCTATCTGAAATAGAAGGAAAAAGAGTTATTTACATGTAGAAGAATGAAATTAGACCCTTATCTCTCATCATATTAAAAATAAACTCAAAGTGGATTAAAGACTTAAATATAAGACCTGAAACTATGAGGGTATTATAAGAAAACAGGGAAAAATATTCATGATCGTGGTCTGGGCAAACATTTTTTGGATAACATCTCAAAAAAATAGGCAACAAAAGCAACAATAGACAAATATGATTGATTACATCCAACTTAAAAAACTTCTGTACAGCCATGAAAATAATCAACAGGGTTCAGATGAACTACAGAATGGAAGAATATATTTGTAAACTACACATCTTAATATCTGACGTATATAAGGAATTCAAATTACTCAATAGCAAGAAAACAAATAACCTGCTTTAAAAATGGGCAAAAGATCTAACTGGCTATTTCTCAAAAGAAGACCATACAAGTGGCCAACAGGTACATAAAAAAGTACTCAACATCACTAATCATTAGGGAAATGGAAATCAAAAGCACAATGAGATATCATCTCACTCGTGTTATAATGGTTACTATGAAAAAACAGAAGATAACATGTGTTGGCAAGGATGTGGAGAAAAGGGAACCCATACACACAGTTGGTAGAAATGTAAATTGGTACAGCCATTATGATAAACTGCATGAGGGTTCCTAAAAAAAATTGAAAATAGAACTACTATATAATCCAGCAATCTCACTGCTGGGTATATGTCCAAAGGAAATGAAATCAGTATGTTAAAGAGACATCTGCACTCCCATTCATAATAGCCAAGATACGGAATCAACGTAAGAATCCATCCACTGATGAATAGATAAAGATGTCTTTGCAGCAACATGAATAAAGTATGATACATGTTAAAGGTAATTAATATGTTAGTTACCCTGATTCAGTCATTATACAATGTATGCATGAATCAAAACATCACAGTGTACCCCATAAACACATACAATTATTGTATGTCAATCAAAAATAAAACCTGAAAAGTAATTTTCAGCATTTTCTACTGCTTACTTTTCAGTTATGAATTATTTTCAGCCAATGATTTATTCTCTACTCATTAAGAATAATAAAATGAAAGAAGCAATAGTAAGAGATTAGTTGAAACATTCCAAAAATCTACAATAGAATTCTTCTAATAATTTTATTATTACATTTATATTTTCTTATTAAAAATTCACAGAAATTCATTAAATAAAAATGAAACAGAACATTCATAATCTCCCCTACTTTGACCTCTGCTGAAACCATTTTGCAAACCTAAGATCTTCCCAGATTTCTCTTATATATATTTTGCTAAAATAAAATATATATTCTTATTTTGCTAAAACAATGAGATTTAATATAAACACTCTTTTGTTATGTTCCACAACTTATGTCAACCATATAAATAATTATTTGTCATTTAGGTTATTCCAATGTTTCTCAACATAAAGTACACAGAATAGAACTTATTGGCTGAACAAGATTTAGAAACGGACTATCAGAAAGATATATCTCACCTGAAACATCCTGAGAAAGGCACATATTTAAAGACCAGTACCACTATGATACTCCAAAATAACCAATTTTGTGTTGGGAAAGCCAATTACTAGGGCTACTTTAAAAATATCACTTTACTGTCCATCCAATGACTTTAGTGGGGGAGGGGTGTGGCCCATCTACAGCCACCAGTCTCCTCCTTCCTAATCATGCAGGCACAAAGATGCTTCTGGTTGTACCCTGGGGCCATCCTTGGCTCCCCTGCCCTACACTCTGTGGATCAGCAAATCCTTTCCACTCTTCATTCCACACATCCAGGATCTGATTACTTCTCAACACATCCACACTGATCACCCTGGTTCAAGTCACTCTTTTCTCTCTTAATTGGCCTCCTTGATTCCATGCTAGCCCTCTAACAGTCATTTTTCATACATAGACCAGAGGGGTCCTATTTAACTTTAAGTCAGATATTCCAGTTCTCTGCTCAGATGACCTTCATCTCACTGGGCACAATGCCACAGCACTCTCACGGCACGCAGTGCCACACGGTGTCTGTTCTCAGCCCCATCCCTTCTTTGACTTTGCCTCCTAATAGTGTGCTCCTCACTTGCTCTGTTCCTGCCACACTGGGCTCCTGGTTCTTCTCAAACACAGGAGACTCTCTCTCACCTCAGGGCCTGTGTGTCTGCCTGAACCCAGTCATGGAATGTTCTTCCACTACAGATCCACACAGCTTAATCCCTCATCACCTGCAGGTCTCTGCTCCAATGTCATCTCCTTGCTAAAGGCTTATGTGATTACTCTGTCTCGTTGCAACCTTACCCACCTCCCCAACACCCTTCCCTGCTTCATTTTTTTCTCTTCAGCACTTACCAACACCTTTCACATTGTGTGTTTGATTGACTGATGGATTGATTTAGCCAGTCTCTTCCAAGAAGACTGTAAGCTTTATGAGGACAAGAATTTTTGTTGTTTGGTTCACTGCTAGAGCCCTAGAGACACAAAGGTGATGTTAGCACGTTTCATTGCACGAAGGGCAAGGAAGATGAAGGCGAATGCCCTGTGAAGATTTTTAGGGGGATAAACCTTTGGCCAGTCACCAAAATTCAAACCTTGTCGTAGAAACCTTATTCCATTTCTTGTCATCTCTTTATCATTTGTGTCCCAACCCCAAAGAAAAGAAATGATTATTACATGTCCTCAATGAGACATATGCTGCTATTAAACATGTTTACAAGGAATAAATAACCCATAGAAATAGGGTTATGGGGAAAAAAACCCAATAATTAAAAACTTTTGTTTTGGATCAGAATAATAGTGTTTGAATTGTTTTTAGCTGTTTGAACTTGAGAAAGTTTCCTAACTTCTTTAGACCTGTAAATGTTGATTATAATAGCACATATCTAATAGAACAGGCCTGGGTGATAAAATGAGAGAATAAATGGATAATGTGTACCAGACAATGCTCAATGTTCAGTTAATGCAAACTGTTATCATTATCACTATAACTGTGCTAAGTGAAAACAGCAGAACATAAAACTGTGTGCATAGCATGAAGTGACTACATAAAATGAAGTCCACATTAGCACAAGGATTTCCAACCTCTGCTTCAGAGCTGAACACTCTCACCCTCTCACCACTTCACACTCCTGCTCAACTCAGCCAGTTTCTTGTGTTACCGTCTGCACTTGCAAAACACCAACTGCATAGCGATTCTGGTATCAATCAGCATTCTTTCTAAGTGACAGATACTCAAACTGATTTAATCAAGAAGATGATTTATTGACTCATAAAGATGGGGCGATCTACTGGGCAGAGTCAGCTTTAAGCAAATTTAGGTTGAGGCATTCAAATGGAATGATATATCAGGATTTTCTTTCTCCCCTGCCTTTCTTTATTCCTTCTGTCCCTAACCATCTCTCTCTTTCTCTCTCTCACTGACTAACTCTTGATCTCTGTCTCCCCACATCCAGGCTCTGCTTGTCTCAGCTTGGATTTATTTTCAAGCCAACTTCTCCCAAGTAAAAAACAAGAGTCCAAAGCCAACCTAATACAGAGACTTCACGCTTCAGAGTAAGGATATTCTTCCCAATAGATCTAGCAAAAGTCCCAGAGAGGTCTTCTATTGGCTAGGTGTGGTCACATGGCCATCCTTAAACAAATCACCGTGGCTCAGGCAAAGAGCAAATCACTTGGGTTCACTACACTTAACTAGAGACTGGGGGAATAGGGTGAGACCGATTGTGAGGCCACAATGACATTTTATTATTGTATAATGAGGGAGGTTTGTTTTCTCCAAAGAGCTGTTGAGTAGACCCAGAGCAGGGGGAAAAAAGTTTTCCAGAAAGTCTTCATAGTGTTAATAGTGATTAACATGGATTTGGTGATGGGTGATTTATTTTTACTTTTACTTTAAAAAATTTCCAAGTGATCTTTAGTCATGACGTAATATTCTTATAATTGAAAATAAAAATTAAAAAAACGGTCCTTGAAAGCAGAGTGGGCTGGTGAGCCCATCAAATGGTGTATAAATGGGCACATGTAGCCCAAGGACCAGCCCAGACCAAGATGTACACAGATTCTAGATTCTTCAGCAATCTGTCCCTTTCCTGGAGCAAAAGCTGTCATGAGTATGCAGTCTGTTATTTTATCCCCAATGGTCCAGTTTTTAGGGGAAACCACCTAGTCATGTTCAAACTTCCAGAGATGGTCGTCCTTTGGAAAGGATCCTAAACTGGCAGCCAGGAGACCTGCTGTCTGTCCCAGCTCTGCCCATCGCAGCTGCGTTAGGTGGTTCAGCTACTTCTGGGCTGCAGGTCCCCATCTATAATCAGAAAGTTTATTTTCAGCTTTAACAATCTGTGATTATTATTTCCGTTTACTGATGGAGTAGCTAATTACTTCATTATAGGATTTTTCAAGACCAGTTACCTCCTGTTTGGTTCAATTAGCAAAATGGTAACATGATTGTCATTGATTTTGACGGTTGGGCTGCCAGGAGAAGAGCCCAGTGGGGAATATTTCAGGATCTTAATCAGAGTTTGTATTTATTCATCCAAGGTAGTAAGTAAAGGAGCATGGCTTGTCATCCATTTCTCAAAATTCTTTATTAGAAAATATTCACTGTCATCATTCTGCGGATGCCTCAGGACCCTTTCATGTTTCCTCTTCAGTTTAGAGCCAGAGGAGAAGGACCAAGCATGGTTGAGTCTGGATAGAACTAATCCTTCGATTTTTTTCCTTGCAGAGAATCATAGACTATCAGACAGAAGTTAAACCTCAAAGATCCATCCAACCCTCTTGGATTTAGAGACGTTTATTGAATATCTTCGTGTATATTCTACATCAAGAACATATGCTGCAAGTCAAACAGAATGTGGTTTGAATCCTTGTTCTTTCAATTACATATGTGTGACCTTTGAAGAGTTTCTCACTTTTTTCTGAGTCATCTTTTTATAATTATATTTTTAACCTTTAATACAGAAACATCAATAATACCCACCTTTTAGGCTGTATGCATGTGGTTGGTAGGCAGGATAATGACCTCCCCCAGAACTTCACATCCTAATCCCCAGAATGTGTGCATGTTTCCTTGGCTAAAGAGATTTTGCTGATGGGAGTTGAGTTAAAGGATTTTGTGACAGGGAGAGTCTCTTGGATTATCCAGGTGGGTCCAGTATATTCACGAGGGACCTTGTCAGTACAAAAGGAAAGTAGGAAAGTCAAAGTCAAAGAAAGAGATGTGACAAAAGAAAGGTTGGAGTGATGTGAGAGTGGAGGTGCTACAAGTCAAGGAATGCAAGGGAGCAGCCTCTAAAAGCTGGAAAAGCAAGGGCATGGGCTCTTCCCTAGATCCTGCAGAAGGAACACGACCCTGATGACCCATTTTAGACTTCTGACCTCTAGACCTGTAAGATAATAAATTTGTGTTGCTTTAAGCCACCACCTTTGTGGTAATTTGTTACAACAACAATAGGAAACAGATACAATGGAGATTGATAATTACATATACAAATGTCTGGGACATCAGCCTAGGAGGTGCACTGAGTGCTACTGCTTTTGCTGCTGTTACGGTTGTTGTTGGTTTTCTTTCCCTTGCTCATACTTCTTGCCTCTCCTTCCTGTCCCTCATCCTTCTTTACCGTTCTCTTCCTTTTCCTTCTTATTCCATTTTAAATAACAGGAAAGGAAGAAACGAACCAGTATTCAATAAGGACCTGTCAGGCACTCCCTTGGTGATTTTACATGCATAAACTCACTTGATCTTTAAAATGACTCTTTGAGTGAGGTTTTAATATTGGCATTTTATAGATGGAGAATCTGCAGTCTTGGTTCCAGACACACAGAGAGTTAGTGACAGTCCTGAGACTAGATTATCCCAGCCCTCCCTCATCATTAGCAACATCATCTCCATTCTAAACACCGAGCTGTTGACCTGTGACCTGTGTCCTGTGTCCTCTGGCTTGCCAGAGCTCGACTGGGCACAGAACTCCAGCACCACGGCAATGGCATTACCAGCCTGAGTCATGGTGTGATACCTTGTGGGCTGAGATGGCAGATGCTGGGGAGAGATGCTGAGCCCAGGAAGGGGCTGTAATCTGTCGGAAGATGTCTCTCTTCTCAAGACATCAAATAGCTCATTCCACCTTTGCCATTTCAAATGAGCCTTCCCTATGAATTGAATAGTAGAACAACTGCCATTTATCAAACGCCTCCTAGATGTCAGATACTGTGCTAGCATTGTGAGAGCTTTTTTACTCTGATTCCTATTAAAGTTCTTAGAGTTGGGTATTGTTTTTTTCCATTGATAGGGAGGAAACTGAGGCTCAGAGAGGGGAATCAGCGTGCCCACTCGCACATGAAGTAGCAGGCTGGTATGAGGCCAGGCTTGTCCCGCCTCTACCTCAACGATCCCCACACCACACAAAGATAGTGACACTTCTTCCCCCAGACCTTGAATTTCAGACTGCTCTGTGCTAATTTAGCTATTTTCTTCACCTTCTTGCCCCACCCGAGCCTCTGTCTTCTTGGGTCCCCAGATCATGTGACAGATTTTACATAAGTACCCTCACTGGTGGCTGTGGCACAGAACAGGGAGTATGTACCTTGCTGAAATGAGAAATCCACAGGGCCAAGGAGGGAAGATTGAGGAATTTGATGCAGATACCCAGCCCTGGCAGGCAGGCAGCCCTCACCTCTGCCACAGGCCTAGCCTGGAAGTGGGGAACCCCAGGTTCTGTCGGACCATCAGCTGTGCGGCTGTGGATTCCACTGTTCTGGGCGTCGAGGACTACTGGAAGAGTGGCAGGGCAGGCAAAAGGCCTGGCCTTGGAACTTACCTGAGCTGGGTTTTCAGGGTAATGCTGCCATTCTGGAACTGTGTGGCTTTGGGCAAGTCATGTCACATCTCTGAGCCTCAGTTTCCTCTCTCATAAAATGCATACAGCAATGCAAGCTTGATTGTGTCGTAGAGTTGTGAGGATCCCACAGCCGGAAGGGGCCATGGAGATCAGCTTGCCCTACCCAGCATTTAGACCAAGAAGAACTGAAAATCAGAAACAAGGAGTTGCCGGGCACCAGGAGTGGGGCTTCTGGGACAGTGACTAAAATTGTTTCCTTTAAAACATGCTGCTTCTCTGGGATCAAACATGATGAGCAGTGAATGGCTGTGCCCACGTTGATGTCAGGACGTGAGGCATTGTGGGCATTTCCTCTGGCCATTGCCTTCCGGGAGGGCTTGCTGCAGTTGGTCAGGCCAGGACACTGGCAACTCCAGGACTTTATTCAACATCTCATTCCCCCATTGAATCTCTAGTTATGAGCACATAGAATAATATAAAACATTTTATATCAAATATGAATGACATATATTTGCTTAATTGAAAAGTTTATAAAATAAGATTCTTACATGAAACAATTAGAGAATGTAAAAGTTCCCTGAGACTATGTTTATTGAGCTTACCTGGGGCCAACGCAGGCAAAAGGTTCAAGGTAACTCCCATTTCACAAGGAAAGTGGAGCCTGTCAGGTATATCAAATCTCTCACTCCTCTGCCTCCCCTCATCTCCACCTCCTTATTTTTAGCATCAATATGGGGGTTTTCCCTCTTCCTGGGTGAGTTCATTTCTTTCCTGGGATGTTACTTCTCATTTCTTCCAGGTGGTTTCACCATAGTAACTCTTGCTCTCTCCAGTTTCTCATTAGGGATTCTTTTAACAGGAAGCCGGTCTACACATTTCTATGCCTGCCATGTGACAGACATGTTTTAGACACTGCTGACACAACTGCAAATCATTCTTTGATCTGAGGAGTCCATATTTAAGAGGAGACAGACACACGGCTCTAAACAGATCTGTGACATACACAGCTACATCAGGCAGTGCAAGGTGCCGCCAGGGAGAACCTTGCAGTAGGTAGGGGGGCAACAGCAGAGTTTGATGGGGTTGCCATGGCTTCAGGGAGGTGGTGGCTGTGGCGGGTGGAGTTGGTGAGGGCAGTTTCAGGACTAGAAGGCTATCTTAGATTAGGTAGCCAGTGATGGCCTCCATGAGAAGATGATATTTGAATAAAGACCTGAATTTTAAGGGGCCAGACCTGCAAAAATCTAAGGGAAGGGACATCCAAGCAGAGGAACTGCAAATGCAAAGGCCCCGTGGCTTTGTTGTCCCTTCTTCTCACTTTGGACGCTCTGGATTGTGATGTATACTGTCTCGGTTGCTCCTTAGGGGACTGAGCCAAAGCCACCCTCTGTGGGAATATGCCTGAGAAACACTTGCTAATAAGTCCCTCTGCACACACCCTCCTCTCGGGGTCTTCTTCTGTGAATTCTCACCTAAGACAGTGAGTACGCATATCTCTCTCAAGGAGTTTTTCTCTAAAGAAAGGCAATTAGAGTCAAGGTAATGGAAATCCCACTGACAACTCACATTCAGCATTTTCCCCAAATTGAACCCATTAACATTTCTTCTCTTCCGAAGTCGCCCTTCTGAGAGGGTGAGGACATATAATTCATCCTGGCACAGAGACAGAAACCTGGGTTATCCTCAGCTCTTCTCCAGCCAGTCTCCAAACCTTGTTCCTACCTCCTTTGCGTTACACATTGAGGTTGGCAAGGGCTTGACCAAGAATAGTTTAGGTGTCCTTGCTCAAAGTGGGAG